TATTTGCTTGTTATTATCATAGTGACAAATTGTCTGTGATCTATATTTGTGTCACAACGACGTACATAGATTGTATTTTGCAATATAATTCAAACAAAAAAATTGCCTCCTAACAAATTCTTTTTTAGTAAGAGTAATCTTCGACCAAATTTTAGAGGGCTAATGGTAGATACAAAAAAAAAACAATAGAAGAAAATCTCATTAGATAGTTTGAATTAACAAAGAGTAGGAACAAACTGAATCCACCATATAAGGAAAAACGTTCACTACATGTACACAATTTACAGCCTGTCGTGACTCCCAACTCTGAAGTATGAATTCAGTTTAATGTGACCCTGTTTTGATAGAATGTTTATTGAATGGATTTTGTACTATTAATAAGTTGTGACTGCTGAACAGAAAAAGGAATTCTCAGAAAGAGTGCATATCTTTGTAAATGCTTATCACCAGAACCAAATTTCAACATTTGGAGAAAATTCAAGCAATACCATAAAACAAATGAATAGATGTTCTATCACAACCAGTCAGAAAATTTATGTGACATTCCTCTGACCACAGTGTCACCTTGTCTGACAAATAACCTGTGTAAATTATACCAGTATGAAATGGTAATGAAATCAAAGATGGTGAAATCTAATATGCATAAAGATGGAAAATAAATGATGGATAGACCATTGGGAAAACAGGTTGAATTTGTGATCTTCCCTTCTACATTAGATGGTTACGCTGTACTATCACATGGAAGTTGATTCAGCTATGCTTTGTTTGAAACCTGTTCATAGTCTATGGACCTCCTTGTCCTCCTTAGTACCTGCCTACTGGGGTGTATCCAGATGGCTTTGACTTAAAAAGGGTTTTTCTGTATCTACACATTATTTCATTCACCAGCATGGAAAACAAATACAGTGGACATGTATACTCACATTACCGGTGGACGTTTCCGGTGTCGGCAAAGATTACTTGGTCAAATTCCAAAATTACTTTAGTATGTAGTTCATATTTCGTTGTGTTTTTAAATTCGTGGATTTGCTCATCAACGAAAACAACGAAAATTGGACCCCCATGAAATAAAATGAACCCACAGTATCTCAGGTCCTACTTCAATTTTAGGTCCCTTATGTATCTTCAAACAACTTCTCCTAATTAACCAAAAGGCCTAGTGTCATTTATTTAGCTATTTTGCCACCCTGGGTTGAAGACTTTCAAGTTTATTTAAATGAATGACCTTGGCCCATTCAATTTCTAAGATTACATGGATCAAAATGTGTTCAAATCTTCAACAACATTCAGTTAATTAACAACTGAAGGTCATGATATTGGACCATTCATCTGTAGGAATGAAGAGGTATTTAGTTTGTTCAAATACATGACCTTGATTCAATTTTAAAGACATAGGTGTTAGACATGTTGAAATTATAAGGGCTTTGAAAAACGTCTTCATAAAAAGGGTCCATTTGGCCTCTTCTGCATACTACAATTTCTAACCCTTAGCAAGGTTTTCAATTTCTAGCAATATGTTAAGTATATGCTGATATCTTTGCTTAAGAAAGATCCTGAATTTGAATTTTGGAATCTCTTTTCCTATCGCTTGTCAAAAGGGCAAATGATATTAGATACTTGAGTGCAATGTTGTTACAAGTCCTTTTCAACAACTTCTCAATAACCAAGAAGCCAAAATTGAAGAGATTGGGCCAATAGCATGCTGTGGTGAAAACAGTTTGGATTTTCCTAAATGAATTAATTTGACTCCTAGGTCAAAGGGTCAAATTGTTCTTTTCACAATGTTTAAGTGACTGAGGTGTCAAATGTGTTAAGTACCTACAACTTCAGAAGAAGAACTAGAAAACTGAGGGTTGTTTTAGGAAAATATTAAGTCAATACTTAAAGTTACAATATATATATCCATTCCAGGGTTTACAGACACAAAAATAACAAAAAGCATTCAGTTTGTCAGCCTAAAAACTTTCATCACTTCCATTGGCATATTGTAGTTTTTCCGATACCACCGCAACAAAAGAAACATTTTTAAAAATATTTTACATACACATCTATTTATTCATCATTTGCTTAATGAAAAATCCTGGTGTTTATTCTGCTGAGACTCCATAAAACAAAACCTCAAATGTTTTGTTATAAGGACTATATTTCAAACAGACTTTAATTCCAGGGGAGGGGCTGGTCATTTTAAAACTTGCGGAATTCAATGTATGATGATGATGCTACGCGGGAGTCCCTTATTCATAATGTCAGTGTGCACATGTATAATGATTACACAGAGTATGAAGTTTTTCGCGTACGGGAAGAATTTTTATTAACTACATCTACCAAATAAAGACGTAAAACACAGAAAGAGACTAAGGGTCATGAAATGTAACTATACAAAAAGCCTTGTAGAAATGAAGGGTTATAATTGATTAACTGAATTCACCTTTACTTTCAAAGTTACAGCTTATGTTAAATGTTTAATATCCAACGACTTCTTTTGATTTATAGTGTCCTCTGGTCATGGTATTAAGCTGATAGTATGTCAACCTTAAAAGATATCAGATTAGTCAAGATCGTTCATTAAGTAAATTCAATTGAATGACCTTGACTTACTCTCATGAGAAAATGTGACAAAATTTTTTTGACAAATATATGTACCGTCGATATGCTCTGATTAATTGTGATCAGAGTCATAATTACAAATTATCAACCTTGATCCACTTGTAGGTTTAGAGGTCAATTGTATAATTACCATATTAATCACATAATAAGCCAATGCTTGATAAAAATCCCATCTACATACATGTTTATTGGTTTTAAGTAAAATCAGAAATCAATGCTACCGAATCGTCGTGTAACATGTTCTTGCCTTTAATCTTAAATAAGAAGGTAATAGTGCAATTTGTTCTTGTCATTAAAAATTATTGATTTATGATACTATTTTTCTTACACGTCTCTGCTATATGTTTTATGCAAACCACATCTGTTGCATATCATTAAGATAATATTCATGATTATATAAATTGTAACTATATTATTAGTAAATGAATTATTATCGACGCTACTCTTTATCGCTTCTAATATGGATTCAGAGCCCGGAAAATATTATTCCGGTCGTCGTTTCCTTCCGCAGTGCTGTATTGTAAACTTCCGGTTGTAAATTGGGTGTTTTCGAAAACAATCGTTCTGTTGTTTTGGTAAGTATAAAATGTAGATGCACTCCTCATGAGATATTTTCCATTTTCAGCGTATTAGTATTTGTTCATTACGTTTATTGTTGTTGTTTCATGGTAGACTTGTATTGAATCTTTTTTTTAATGACGAACCTTTCACGACTCCAGGAGATGGTGATGATTATCAAGATCAGAAAGGGGCAGGGACTATTTGTGCCCCAGTGATGTTTATCTAGATCAGGAAGGGGCAGGGACTATATGTTTCCCAGTGATGTTTATCGCGATCAGGAAGGGGCAGGGACTATATGTTTCCCAGTGATGTTTATCTAGATCAGGAAGGGGCAGGGACTATATGTTTCCCAGTGATGTTTATCGCGATCAGGAAGGGGTAGGGACTATTTGTGCCCCAGTGATGTTTATCGCGATCAGGAAGGGGCAGGGACTATATGTTTCCCAGTGATGTTTATCTAGATCAGGAAGGGGCAGGGACTATATGTTTCCCAGTGATGTTTATCTAGATCAGGAAGGGGCAGGGACTATATGTTTCCCAGTGATGTTTATCGCGATCAGGAAGGGGCAGGGACTATATGTTTCCCAGTGATGTTTATCTAGATCAGGAAGGGGCAGGGACTATATGTTTCCCAGTGATGTTTATCGCGATCAGGAAGGGGCAGGGACTATATGTTTCCCAGTGATGTTTATCTAGATCAGGAAGGGGCAGGGACTATATGTTTCCCAGTGATGTTTATCGCGATCAGGAAGGGGCAGGGACTATATGTTTCCCAGTGATGTTTATCTAGATCAGGAAGGGGCAGGGACTATTTGTGCCCCAGTGATGTTTATCGCGATCAGGAAGGGGCAGGGACTATATGTTTCCCAGTGATGTTTATCGCGATCAGGAAGGGGCAGGGACTATATGTTTCCCAGTGATGTTTATCTAGATCAGGAAGGGGCAGGGACTATTTGTGCCCCAGTGATATTTATCGAGATCAGGAAGGGGCAGGAACTATTTTTTATCAGTCTCTCAAAAACCTTCATTTGGACTCTAAAATTGACAAAGGACCTCAAAATTTAATAAAGTTTTACAATATTCCATTCATGATGCGAGTCCCAAGACTCTTAAAGTTCATAAAAGTGAGGGTCCCACGGAATATAATATCTGCAGGATGTTTCTACAGACTTGCCCTGTTAAATAGCAGATATATAATACGCACTTCCTTTCCTTACTTAAGTGGTACATTGCTATTGCAAGCCACTATCATGAAAAGTATAGGACTTATTTCATGTGGAGAAAGACATCTGCAATGTTATTTGTATCCACAGGTTGGACACTAATCTTAACTGCAATGTTGTAGCTCTGACAACATTACAATTTTTTCTTAATAATTGTACTAATTGGATACAACCATGCATATGGATAGTTTTTCTTTTTTATTTTGAAAATGAAAAAAAAAGTGTTTCTATTTCCAATTATCTTAAATTCGATTAGCAAATGTATTACTCAAACCAGTACCTGTCATTTAAATCAAGGACTTCTACACATACCTATATGTGGCATTGTGCCCAACCTGATCAATACTCGATGAACAGATACCTTGCTATCTAATCATGAGTGACTTGTAATACACATAAGAAGTTGATCATATATCACTTTTTCTGATAAAAAATCAATAAGTTTCAATATTTCTAATATCAATGTATATGATAATTTATTACATTTATCACAGTTTTTTTTTATTCATGAAAACATGAGGAATTAAATTTGATTTTCTCTTCACTTAGAACATTAATAGAGGTTTGGTGTTACTATGTTAATCTGTTGTTTCATTAAGGTGATACAAGATGGATGAGTTGATGAACAAACTGCAGGAGGATATCTCCAAACGTAGCCTTCCGTCACTGTTGGATAGAAGTTTTGTAAAAACTGCTGAAGAGGATGGTCAGCTGAAGGTCAGAATTATGCAGTGGAATATCCTAGCTCAAGGTAATGGTCCTACACATGTCATCAGGGTACATATTGATTCCTGATGAATTAGCATGTTTCTCCTGTCGTAAGCCCAAGGGGACAAAAGTCACTTATAACAAAATTGCAGGTAGTTTGTAATTTCATACAAAGCAACATAAGTTTTTTCACTCTTATTTCTTAATGAAGAAAAAATACAGATTCCATTCTGTTAGTACTGATATATGTTTTTCCATATTTCTTAAAAGTAAGTTGCTTTGAACCACTATAAAAAAGAGCTTACCTTACTATATTTGCAATGCATGTATCTTAACAACAGAAAACACCTTCTATATGCATTTCATTAACATTTAACACAAGTTTTAGTTTTACTTTATTTTGTTCTCATCATAAAATTCATTTCTAACATGTTAATTATGTCATATTTGGTGTGTCAAATTTTATTCTATGGAAAGACACAATAGGTATAGTAGAAATAATAATTGTCATTTCTAGATAAATAGGACACAAACATGAAGAATATTCTAGACTTTATTTACAGAAGGTTTTATATTATTTAACAAAGAGCTGTAAATTCATAGACTACATCTGGTGCTTTAAAGACCAGGCTTCTGTTACCTCAGAATTAGCCTGCACTTACTGTTGGCTAACAAATGTTTAAACAATTTAATGTGTTGTGATATGTTAGAAATAGCTTATGCAGGATAAAAGTAATGACAAGCAATAATTATTTGTTTGTAGCTCTGACCCAAGGAGATGATAACTTCATCCTCTGTCCCCCCGCAGCACTACAGTGGGACAATCGTCAACTACGTGTGATCGAGGAGTTGGTTCGTTTCACGCCCAGCATTTTGTGCTTGGAGGAAGTTGATATGTTTCAGTTCCTGAAAGGTACCCTGGGACAGGCTGGATATGACGGTATCTTTACTCCAAAGCCAGACTCACCTTGTCACAAGTTTAAAAACAACATGGGATCTGATGGCTGTGCTGTATTCTACCAGACAGGTGAACTTGAACTACTGCATAAGGACTGTATAATATTGAAAGGAGAGGACGATGAAGAAACAAATCAAGTTGCTATCTTATGTAAATTTCGTTTGAAAGCTAACCAGAAAGTATTCTTTGTCAGTGTCTGTCATCTAAAGGCAAAGTCTGGCTATGCTGATTTACGTCATCAGCAGGGAAAATACTTGCTGGATGTTTTGAAGAAAAATGTTGGTTCCCATCCTGTGTTTATTTGTGGTGACTTCAATGCACACCCCAAAGAACCAGTGTATGGTGAGTTTGCGAAGAGTGATCTCGGCATAACCAGTGCGTATGCTCATTTATCAACAGAAGGAAAGGAGCCAAGCTACACAACATGGAAAATACGTGGAACCTTTGATGGGCAGAAAACAGAGAGCTGTAAAACCATAGACTACATTTGGTACTCTAAAGACAAGGCTTCCATTACCTCAGTATTAAACCTGCCTTCACCAGAGGCTATCGGGGAGGCCAGGCTACCTTCTTATACATACCCCTCCGATCACTTATCTCTTGTCTGTGATGTTGTTCTCAATAAATAAAGGAGAACTGATCTAGATTTATGTAATTTACTTAGGTAGACATTACGGCAAATTTATAAAAATAATAACGCCTGTCAAGAAATAGATTTTATAACCATGTTGCTTATTGCCATATAAATGTATTTAATTTTTGTACAATTATATTTAAAGAGATGAGGGAATTATTTAATGTGCACTGTATGTGTGTATACATGTTTTGTAATGCATTTATGATATTGTCACCATAAGCAAATATATAGCTTTTATTACAATCTGTCTACTTTTTAGGGAGAGAGTGTGTGTGGTAAAATTTTGTAAGTGAGTTTAATATCTTTAATACACTGCATGACAAGTTGCAATGCATTACATATACATTTGATTCTGGTATGAATACAGAGTCAAAGTGTACAAATCTGGATAAAAAATAATAAGCTTACCTACAAAAGTAGGGAGAGTTAACAGCTATACAGGATGACAATAAAGAATTATTAAAAAACAAAAATACAAAATCATATTCCTACTGACCACAATGATGTGATGGTATAGGAAACAGTATCTTGAGAGACATTAATAGAACAAAAAGTTGGACACCTGACTAAGCATCACAACTAGTCATTCTGAATATTTTAACTTTTAAAAAAATTTTTGTTTCTTTAGTACAATGTACCAGTACATAACTACATTCTTAGGTTATTAGGCCAGGGATGACACAAACAACAACTAGATGCCTTTCAGGAAGTTCTGACATAAAATTTCAGTGTTATATCATGAATAGTCTGATGATGAAAAACCAAGTCTAATTAGGAAGTAATCATATGTAATAGTTGTTGTCTTTATTGGTTTCAAAATCATATTGATTGACCATTTTTATTTGTTTTTTTGGGTTTTTTTCGTGCCCTACAATATAAACTCCTGACTTTTGTAGTATGTGTAAAGCCTAAAACCTTGGTAATGATATTGATATCTTCTCTCATGACATATGACCTTGAGGAAGAATGGGTAGAAGGACTGAGCCGAGACCTCTATTTAAGTCTCTGGATTTTGTATTTTACTTCAGCATATGTGGGTGATATTTAAAAGTTATTTTGATGAAGATCCAGTAGATAGTTTTTGAGGATGATGATCTCTCATTCATAAACTTGTTTTTAATTTTGAATATTTGTGTAGCTGTTAACGTAAACCCTGAAACATTGTCAATATGTTCCCTGATGCATGTTCTCTTCTGTAAATGTCTGTGATAGAGAAATTATTAGCAACTAATTTAATACAGAGTATACTGTGTTATCTTCACATCTAGATGTGATTAATATATTTTCATTTGTTGTATTCTGCATATTCATATGTTCATTTACGACAGTAATGATATTTGTTGGTTATATATATGATGTAATATATAGAATTCTCAGGTACAGATTAAATAGATATCTAGGAGACCTCTGAGTCTAGAGTCTGGTTTAGAGGGACTACCTAATCTGAATGGATTTTGGTCTAGAGGGACTTCCAGAACTATGGGGACTGCTGTCATGTCTAAAGTTACTGCCAGGTCTAGAGGGACTGCTTTAGGTCTAGAAGGACTGCTTTTGGGTCTAGAGGGACTGTTCTCCAGTCTAGAGGGACTGCTGTCAGGTCTAGAGTGACTTGCCAAGTTTGAAGGGACTGCTGTAAAGTCTAAAGTGACTGCCAGGTTTAGAGGTTGCTGTCGGGTCCAAAGTGACTGCCAGGTCTAGAGGACTGCTTTAGGTCTAGAGAGACTGCTTTAGGTCTAGAGGGACTGTTTTCAGGTCTAGAGGGACTGCATTAGGTCTAGAGGGACTGGTTCCAGGTCTAAAGTTACTAACAGGTCAAGAAGAAGGACTGCTGTCAGATCTAGAGTGACTTGCCAAGTTTGAAGTGACTGCTGTCAGGTCTAGAGTGACTTTCCAAGTCTGAAGGGACTGCTGTGAAGTCCAAAGTGACTGCCAGGTCTAGAGGACTGCTGACAGGTCTAGAGGATCTGCCAGTCCTAGAGGACTGCTGTCAAGTCTAAAGTGACTTGCAGGTCTAGACAGACTGCTCTCAGGTCTAAAGTGACTGCCAAATCTGGAGGGGCTGCCAGGTATAGAGGACTGCTGTCAGTGGTAGATTGACCGCCAGGCTAAAGTGACTGCCAGGTCTGTATTTGTATGAGGTCTCTGAGTCATTGTTAGCAAGAAATAGTATGATAATATATTTCAGCTCCTACATGAGTGTTTCTCTGACTTGATATGCAAGTGTATTAAATGATTTGGATTGATTTGGTCAATGAACTGAATATTTCAGAGTTATGGTCCTTTATAGTTTTATTACCTCCAAACTTTGTGAACACGATTACTTGTGTTAATGGATTTTGATGAAACTTGGTATGCAGCCTTATATTAAAAACATCTTTAAGGAGTTTTACAATGGGACTGATCCAGTCATAACATACATAGTTATGGCCGTTTGCAGTTTTTAATCAATGGATCATGTGAACACATATTTCGAGTAAATATGAAGAGATTTTGAAGAAACTTGGAAAGTAACTTCATATGAATAAGACAATTGACAATGGGACCAATTTTATTGTAATTTATAGGATTATGGCCCTTTGCAATTTGGACTTTGTGAACATAATAGCTTGAGTAAATATCGACTGGGACCAACTTAATCATAACTTACATAGTTATGACCTTTTGCAATTGTAGGTTGGTCAGTCAGGTGAGTGTTTAGGCCCAGTTGCCTCTTGTTAGGCCTTCTGATCCTGACCAAATGCTGTTAACTTTTCTGTCTCGCTGAGATCCAGTAAAGTGGTCAGCCTGATATTAAATGTGACTGCCAAGGCATTCATCTTAAAAACATATTTTAAACTTCTTCCACTATGCTATTGAGCTGAAACTGGGGATGTTAAAGAAAGGAGCCAACAAAGTATTGTTTTTTTTGGGCCTCAGTCTTAAACTTTTCAAGTCCTACAATTGGATTCAGCTGAAACTTGCTTGAAATGATTCTGAGATTTTATTCACCAAGTGTTGTTACCTTTTGGGTCTGTGTTTAATCCAATATAGCCATCTTGTCTGCCATCTTCTTGTTCTAATAAATCATTATGCATGCAGAGATATATAAGGCTTTCTTTTGAAATAGAACCTGTTCTATACCTCAGGTACTAGTTCACTAAAGCATATCGTAATTATTTTTGTACAATAGATGACACCTTTAAGTCTTTTATCAAAATGTGATATAAAGAATCTTCACTATGTAAACCTGTGTAAATGTAAATCAATTATCTAATTGTTTACAGATAATTTATTTACAATGTGAACTTTTCACCTCATATTTAAATAGCTATGACCCTTGATATTATTTTGGACATGAATTCACATGTTTCTGTATAGAACTATAATAAGTTTGTGTTTAATTGATTTTTATGACATTTTAATTTATAATATTTTTTTTGACAAATATGAGTTTTAACAGTGAAATCTGTCTAAACCGACCACGAACCCTGAAGGCAACATTGCCATATGAATTAATCCCACTCAAATTCTTTTTTAATCATATCGAACCTTGTGACCCAGACTTTATCCCTATCATTTGGTCCACAATGGATCCAGTTTAGAAAGGTCTTATTATTGTAACATATACCTTTCACATTATGGTATTATGGTGTGTTTTACCTGTCACACCATGGTACTATTGTGTTTTACCTGTCACACCATGGTACTATTGTGATTTACCTGTCACACCATGGTATGATTGTGTGTTTTACCTGTCACCATGGTATGATTGTGTGTTTTACCTGTCACACCATGGTATTATTGTGTGTTTTACCTATCACACCATGGTACTATTGTGTTTTACCTATCACACCATGGTACTATTGTGTTTTACCTATCACACCATGGTACTATTGTGTGTTTTACCTGTCACACCATGGTACTATTGTGATTTACCTGTCACCATGGTATGATTGTGTGTTTTACCTGTCACACCATGGTATGATTGTGTGTTTTACCTGTACCATCATGGTACTATTGTGTTTTACCTATCACACCATGGTACTATTGTGTTTTACCTATCACACCATGGTACTATTGTGTTTTACCTATCACACCATGGTACTATTGTGTGTTTTACCTGTCACACCATGGTATTATTGTGTGTTTTACCTGTCACCTTGGTATGATTGTGTGTTTTACCTGTCACATCATGGTACTATTGTGTTTTACCTGTCACACCATGGCACTGTTGTGTTTTACCAGTCGCACCATGGTACTATTGTGTTTTACCAGTCACACCATGGTATTATTGTGTTTTATATTGTTTACTTCGCGCATTTCAGCTCCACATTCCCAAAGTTACCAATATTTATAATTCAATATTAATTATTCCTTTGAATTACATATCTACTTACATTAACAGCAGTAAGATATTGACCTTTATGTAACCTTACACATGTTATGGTAGGTTTTTATACATTTTTCCAGTTATACTTTCAGTTACCAAGTTTTATACCTGAATCCAGTGTTGTTATGAAGTAGCCATAAAGTAACCATGGAAACCTTATGGAAACTTAAGTTCTATTTCTAGTAACCATAGGTTGTGTTACAAACAGGTAACCAGGTATTACTGACTTGCAATCAGGTGTTATTGACTAGTAACCAGGTAATTACTGACTAGTAACCGCTGGTGATATTGACTAGTAACCAGGTATTACTGACTAGTAACCGCTGGTGATATTGACTAGTAACCAGGTAATTACTGACTAGTAACCGCTGGTGATATTGACTAGTAACCAGGTATTACTGACTAGTAACCGCTGGTGATATTGACTAGTAACCAGGTATTACTGACTAGTAACCGCTGGTGTTATTGACTAGTAACCAGGTATTACTGACTAGTAACCACTGGTGATATTGACTAGTAACCAGGTATTACTGACTAGTAACTGCTGGTGATATTGACTAGTAACCAGGTATTACTGACTAGTAACCGCTGGTGTTATTGATTAGCAACCAGGTATTATTGACTAGTAACTGCTGGTGATATTGACTAGTAACCAGGTATTACCGACTAGTAACTTCTGGTGATATTGA